AGAACGTCCCATACACGCGCCACGGGTCTTCCTCGGTCAGGTCGCGCCTCGACAGGGCAGCATGGGCTCGGTGCTTGAAGGACTTCGTGAACGCGACGGCCAAGCAGGTGATCGACCGCTTGAAGAAGGACAAGGTCTTGCCTGAGTGGAAGGGCGCGAAGTGCCCCTACTGCCAGATCGGCAAGCTGGGCCCCTTGAAGGACCATGGCAAGAAGAAGGGCGGGTGGACCCACAAATGCTCGAGCGACTGCTGCCGACGCTTCCTCATGCCGCACGCCTTCCACCCTATCTTCAAATGCGGCACGGGGTCGTCGGGGGGGCGCTTGGCGGACCAGGCCGCCGTGCTGTTCTGCGCCGTGGCCCAGTGCTCGCAGACGTCCGCCCGCCTCTTGTTGAAGAACAACCACAAGATGACAGAGGGCATTTACTCTGCGCTGTATGCAGCCCGCGCCAAGTACGTCAACTCCCACGAGAGGAACATCTCCTTTGGCCATGACCAGGACGGCAACGCGCTCGAGTGGGCGGACGCGGAGGCGGACGAGGTCGACGTGGCGAAGGGCGAGGGCCCGGACGCTGGCCCCCGCACGCAGAAGCCCATCATCTGGGAGCAGTGGGGCGGCATCGTGCAGCGGGGGCACCCCAGGTCCTTGGTCCTCTTCAGGTTGAAGCCAGAGAAGGCCAAGCGTAGGGCGCCTGGCCCTGGCCCGATTCGGAAGAGGGATTGGGCGCCCATGGCGTCCAAGTGGCTAAAGCACCGCCGCGTCATCCTCCACACGGACGGGGCGAGGTCCTACAAGATGAAAGTCGATGGCGTCTTGCACGACTGGGTCGTGCACAAGAAGAAAAGGGTGCGGGTTGGCGGGAAGTGGGTGTGGCTGAAGCCGGCATTCACGAAGATCCGCTACCACGACGTCCCTGACCAGAGCAAGCCCAGCGGGACGAAGCGCTTGTGGGTGAAGTGCGGCACCCAGGTGATCGACCGCGCGTGGGGCGACCTGCGCAAGGCGGTCGGCAAGGGCATTGCGAAGACGGTGGGGTCTGTCCTTCTCCGCAACAAGGCAGGCCAGATGAACGACGTGCAACGCGTTTGTTTGCGTAGGCGCTGTCTCCTCAATCTTCAGCGCAGCTGAACGCCGCCCAGGGGGGTGGGAGGTGTTGCCCGGCGCGGGAAAGGTTGGCGGGTGGCATGCGCTGAGGTTTGGAGAGGCGGCCCAGCGCGACATGCGCAGTTGCTGCTCGCTCTCTGGCCTATGCAAGGTGCGCTCCTTCCAGTGGACGTACTGGAACCGCGGCAGCGATCTCTGGCTCGCTACTGGCCAGATGCTCCGCGACGCGTGGGCCAAGGACCACGCTCAGTGAGCTCTCTCGCTGACGCAGCCGAGCCCGCTTGGAGATCGGCGCGCAGGAGCAGCCAGGTGGCCAGGCGGAGTGATCTAGTGGCGACAGGCTTGGCGTTCGGAGTGAGAGTGGCCAGGCGTACGGCGCGCGTTTGCGCTTGTTGTCTATTTCGCTTGGGCCGAGTTAGTTCTTGAGACCAGAGGTGTGTTCACATTGCCCCTCTTCATATAGATGCCACCCGCGTTGCGATATGTCGGGCGAATGATATGGCAATGCCCAGGCGAAATGTGCGCGGATCCGCATATTGTTTGCGATCGTAGTGAAGTGAGCTGAACATCATCATCTTCAGTTGCGCGCGGGCGCTATCGCGCGCTTCGCCAGCGCGCACTTGCGCGCAGGAAGAGGAAGAACAGACGGAGGAGGAGGAGTGAGAGGAGGAGGAGAAGGAGGAGGAGGAGGAGGAGGAGGAGAAGGAGGAGGAGGAGGAGGAGGAGAAGGAATTCTATTGGAAAGCCTCACAAAAGGAATCCTTTGGAAAGCATCACAAAGGGATTTTATTGGAAAGCCTCACAAAAGGAATCCTTCGGAAAGCATCACAAGGGAATTCTATTGGAAAGCCTCACAAAAGGAATCCTTTGGAAAGCGCCACAAAGGGATTCTATTGGAAAGCCGCACAAAGAAATTCTATTGCAAAGCACCACTGCCCACCAAACCATGCTATTCACAGGTTTTTTTGGTTTTTTTGGTCAGGGAAGCCACGAAACCTTGCTATTCACATGTTTTTGGGTTTTTTTTGGTTTTCAGAAGCTCCACAAGGTTGGCCAGAAGGGGACCGCGGGGGCTTGCGGAGCCTCTGAAAACCAAAAAACCAAAAAAACATGTGAATAGCAGCGTTTGGTGGCTTCCTAGACCGAAAAAACAAAAAAAAAAAAAAAAAAAAAAAAAAAAAAAAAAAAAAAAAAAAAAAAAAAAAAAAAAAACAAAAAAAACTGAGAATAGCAGCGTTTGGTGGGATCGTGGCCACCAAACGCTGCTATTCACATGTTTGTTTGGTTTTCAGCCGTCCATAAGACCTCCTGGCCTAGTTTGTGGAGCTTCTGAAAACCAAAAAAACCAAAAAAACCTGTGAATAGCAAGGTTTCGTGGCTTCCCTGACCAAAAAAAACAAAAAAAAACTGTGAATAGCATGGCTTCCTCCTCATCCTAATCCTCAACCTCGTGGTCCTCCTCCTCCTCCTCCTCATCCTCTTCCTCTTCCTTTTCATATTTGGAGGAGGAAAGGAGTAGGATGAGGATGAGGAGGAGGAGGAGGAGGAGGAGGAGGAGGAGGAGGAGGAGGAGGAGGAGGAGGAGGAGGAGGAGCAACGGAAAGAGAGCGATGGGTGCACACGGGGTGCTGGGGGGGGGCTGACCATATATATATATATATATATAATATATATATAGCTGTTTGGCCGGGCTGCGTCTTCTGGTTTCCGCCGAGGGAGGGTCATCATTCTCTCTCTCTCTCTCTTCTCTATCTCTCCCTCTCTCTTTCTCTCTTTACCTTCCCCTCGTCTTTGGATTGAGCAGGCAGGCGGCTATGCGGCCTGCCACCCCTCCTGCCGGGGTGGCGACATCCAGACCCGACCTCCACCAACTACCACATGGCTCGCATGTGGCCACGCATGCTCGACGAGCTCCGAGCCCCCCCCCCCCCTTCCGCCCCTCGAGCTGCCCGCGTCGTGGCCCGGCGAGGGTCGGCTTCAGACTCCGCCGCCGAGCGCAAGCATGCGAATGTAATTATCATAATGACAAGAATTACTATTACTGTTGTTATTTGTACTAATTCCCCAATCAGAGCTTGCCTCTGTAGGGGTCCTAGCGGATTTAAGGGTAGGTGAGGTGCGCCGCCGATTCGGTGGCCTGGCCCGGGTGCCCGGGTGCCCTGGTTCGCCGCCGATTCGGTGGCCGGGCCCGGGTGCCTGGATGCCCAGGTGCCCGGGTGCCCGGATGACGGGTGCCCGGTGCCCGGGTGGGTGCCCGGATGCCGTGTGCCGGGTGCCCGGGTGCCCGGTGCCCTGTAGCCCTATAGCCTTATAGCCCTATATCCCTATCGCCCTATAGCCCAAATAGCCATATAGCCCATATAGCGCTCAAGAGCCCATATAGTCCTGTAGCCCTATAGCCCTACAGCCCTAAAAAGATTATGATTGGGTTTTTCTCTGGTAACATATTATTATTCGTAATCTTATTATTCGGCGTTTCGACATTGGGCGGAAGGGGGGGGTCTGGCTCCGGACATCTGCTCAATGCGACCGTTCGCAGCAGTGCAGTGCGTCCTGTGGGGGAGACTCCACCTGCTCGAAACGGGCGCCAACAAAAGCAGCCAAGATATACTTCATTTGGGGGGGTGGGGTGCGAGGGCCCGCGCCGATCGGCAGAACGCTTCCGACCCCTCCTCCTCCTCCTCCTCCTCCTCCTCTCCTCCTCCTCCTCCTCTCCTCCTCCTCCTCCTCCTCCTCCTTCCTCCTCCTCCTCCTCCTCCTCCTCCTCCTCCTCCTCCTGCTCCTCCTGCTCCTGCTCCTCCTGCTCCCTCCTCCCTCCTCCTCCTCCTCCTCCTCCTCCTCCTCCTCCTCCTCCTCCTCCTCCTCCTCCTCCTCCCCTCTCCTCCCTCCCCCTCCCCCTCCCCCTCCCCCTCCTCCTCCTCCTCCTCCTCCTCCTCCTCCTGCTCCTCCTCCTGCTCCCTCCTCCTCCTCCCCTCCTCCTCCTCCTCCTCCTCCTCCTCCTCCTCCTCCTCCCCCTCCTCCTCCTCCTCCTCCTCCTCCTCCTCCTCCTCCTCCTCCTCCTCCTCCTCCTCCTCCTCCTCCTCCTCCTCCTCCTCCTCCTCCTCCTCCTCCTCCTCCTCCTCCTCCTCCTCCTCCTTCCTCTCCTCCCTCCTCCTCCTCCACAATTACTCAATATGAAAATACTCTCCCTCTTCCCCTGATGGCGTCCGGGTGATGGCCGCGCACCCTCCGCGTACTGTTTTTTACACACAGGATTCCCGGGAAATCCCGGGAAACGACTCTCGCTGAGGCGCCGGCGTCATTTTGTCCCAAAATGCTGCTCTCGTTGAGGCGCCGGCCTCATTTCTGCTCCCGAATCGTTCCGAATCGTGCTCCCGCTGCAGCGTGGGCCTCATTTTCGGATCGGTGTTTGGCCTCCGTCGTTCAGGATGGCGTTCTCGCCCCAGCGCGGGCCTTTTTCTCGCGCGCCCATCCGCCCGCCACCACCGCGCCGCACCGCCACCACCACCACCACCACCACCACCACCACCACCACCACCACCACCACCACCACCACCACCACCACCACAACCACCACCAGCACCAGCACCAGTACCAACACCACCAGCACCACCACCACCACCACCACCACCACCACCACCACCACCACCACCACCACCACCACCACCACACCACCACGCACCACAACACACGCACACACACGCACGCACGCACGCACGTGCACCACCACCCACTACGCACGCGCGCGCGGAGCCGCAGGTCCGCTACGACACGCGTCCGCGGATAGAGAAAATCAGCGCCATGGTAAGGGATGGGAGGGAGGGGTAGGACGTCAGATATGACGCGAGCGCACCTAGCTTGTCTTCCTCCTCCTCCCCCTCCTCCCCCAACGGCCTGCACCAGCGGCGCAGGGCGACGGCAGCACCAGCAGCTGCCGCACGGGCCCTCCGGGGGCTGGTCGAAGAACCCGTAGGTGAAGCCCTCCTGGGTGCCTGGGCGCGCCGCGCGCTTGCTCGAGGGGGCACGGGTGCCCAGGCCTCAAGCGCTCGGACGCTCCTTCAGCGTGGGCGTGGGGCGAAGGAGAATCGGCGGCGAGCGAGGGGGGGGGGGATTGAGGAGGCCAAGGCCTTCTCAGAGGGCGGCCGGACTTCTCAGAGGGCCTCCGGCCTTCTCAGACGTGCTGTGTGCCTTCGGGGAGGGCTGAGAAAACTTCGCAGAAGGCCAGAGGACTTCCTAGCCTTCTGAGAGGGCCCTCTCTTTCTCACTTCCCCCCATCGGTCGCCGCCGAGAAAAACATCTGCACCCTTCGAGCACCGTTGGTGCACCTCTCGGGCCCCGGGGGCTGCCTCGGGAGCAATTCCGGGCGCCTTTCGGGGCACCGTCCTGCACTCCCTGCCCCCACACTACTTTTGTTGCCCCCCCCCGATGCTGTTCGCCCGAACCGTACTGAACATGGAATGAATTCATACGCTCTGTTCTCTGGTGGCTCTTGATGATTTTTCGGGCCCGCGGTGAGTTCCATCAGCTGCGCCTCGTCGAGAGGCGTCCAGTGGTGCCTGGATCCTACCGAACGGACGCCTGAGGTTCGAGTTCTGGGCCCGAAGGCCGACTGGGCACGACCATAGAAGTCCAACGCCTTGGCCAAGTCAAGACAATGTTCCTTTGTCTGTGTCGATGTGCTCCAGGCCGCTTCTGGGCCCCAGGGCCGTCACCGGGAGGAGCTAGGTTGGGTGTTTCCGCATCCTGGAATATATTTCTCTGCAGCTGGCCCTGCTGCTGCAAGTGATGAAACCCACGAGTCAGAGGAGGAACTTGGGCCACCGCCGCAAGGAATCCTTCGGTGAGGGACTGGCCCCAGGGCGGTACGCCTGAGCGTCACCTTGTATTGGGGAGACGCTCGAGCGTGTCACCCAGGGGTCGACATCCTACTGATAGGTCCTCGGTGGTGGTGGTTCGTGTTTCTCTTCTAACTCTCCTTTGAACGAAGTCACCGCGTCAAATGTCCGATGCTGGAAACCCGTCCTAACATAACCTAGCGACGCCCCGCTTGTAGATCCGCCGCTTCCCCGCCCGCCTTCCGCCCGCTCCTGCCAGCGGACACCACGACGCTTTGTTGGTTTGAGGCGAGACGCGGCGAAAAGGTGGCATGTTATATGCAGATCCTGGCAGGTTCACGTGCGTGTCACTTCGCCCCCCCCCACCCCCCACCCCTCACCCCCATCACACTGTTCGTCGGCGGCCGGCGGGGCAGAGGCAGTCCGCACCAGCGTGGGGCTAATCCGGGCAACCGATCGGCAAATTGTCCGGCGTGCAAGAGAGAAAGAAGAAGTCGAGGGCGGCCGCGCGAGGGGTGGAGGGCGAGGGCGCTCAGACGCACCGCCCTCACACACACACACAGCCGAACACCACCGCCCCTCCAGCCGCCATCTCAAGCGGCCGGCGCTGGGCCGAGAAGGCGTGCAAGCGGAGGCCCCGACTCGCGCGGAGTCCAGACTTCCCTTCGGGCCTCGCCTCGCCCCCCCCCCCTTCGTGCAGAGGAAGCCCGCCCGAGCCCACGGGAAGGCCGCCGCGAGCGAGGCCCGTCCCGGAGAGCCACTGGAGGGCCGCGCGCGGCAGGCGGCATGCGCGCGCGATCAGCACGGCACGGCAGCGGCCCCCGCCGCCGCGGGCCGCTCCTCCAGGGCCGCCCGCGACAACCACGCCCCTCCCCTCGGGTCGGGCGAAAGGGGGGGTTAGCAAAGGGGGGGTTTGAGACTCAGCTCACGTAGCTGATTTTCCTGGCGCCTCCCGGCGCCGGGAGGCGCTCATGTATCGAGGAATGGGCCCCTCGGCGGGGCCGAAACCAGCTGCATGCAGCAGATTTCGTAATCCCCCCTCTCCCTATCCCCCCCTTTCGTCCGGCCCGATCCTCCCCTCGAACAGGTGGTCGTGGGGGGTGACCCACATGGAAGGTGGGGCAGCGAGCCCAAAGGGGGCCCTCGAGGGCCCCTGCTGGCTCCAAGAGGGACTCAAGGCCCATGCAGGGTCCTCTCCTTCTTTCTTCACCCCCCCTAGTCGGGGGGCGCCCAAACATGGATGAGCGATCCATGGATTTGGCGCGCGGTCGCTAGATCCATGGATCGGGGGATGTGCCCTCCCCAAAATGCGGCCGGTGCCGCCTCGCTCGGCGGCGGAAATCTGCGATTTCTCATGGAAACAAGACCCGTCCCTAATCCCCGCCCCCTTGATCCGTGCGTGTCTGCGATCGCCTGCCTATAGGCCACCCCTACATTGACACCCGCCCGATACCACTTGAGATTGCATGCTTTGCCATGTCCGGTAACGGTCGTCACCGTCACCAGGAGTGGGGGGGCGGAGCTGGGGCCCCGGGTCACTTTTTACCTGCAAGAAAGGGGCCCTGTGGCGGGATGGGGAGCAACGACGACGAGGGGACGACAAAGCCGAGAGGGGAGACGCGCGCCAGGCGCGCACCGGGCCGTCAGGGGGGCCCGAGGCCTCGCGGGGGCGGCCGCGCGCCGCGGCCCCGCGGAGGCCCCGAGGCCTCGCCGGGCCCCGAGTCACGCGGCCTCGCTGGGGCCCCGGGTCACGTGTGAACGCTTGGGCAGGGTGGGCACGCACGTCGGGGCGGGTGGGTGCGCTGAAGTCGCTACCCGTCGGCCGGAGGGAGTAGGTAGAACCATGAAGCAGGAAGGCGTTGGAAATAGATTGGGCTTCCGCCCACCTCCTCTAGAGGAGGGACGATGGAAAACCACTCGACTCTTGAAGTAGGAAGGCGGCGCAAGTAGACTGGAATCTGGAAATCCCAAAATACCTACCTCAAACGACCGATGAGTATAGTATGCGCGCGAGCACCAGGGTGTGTTGTGGGGGGTTCAGACCCCCCCCCCACGCACGATCGTTACCGTGACCTAGGGTGGCGGGGTGGCAGGCAACGGCCGTTACGCGCGCCAGAGGGTAAAAAACCGACCCCCCCACGCCCTAAATGCTCCTCCCACTTCTGCACGTGTCCAGCCACATCTCCCCTCTCCTCCCTCATCCTCGCCCGCCGTTGCATGCGCCCGCCTCCTGAACCCGATGTCTCGACTTGTGGAACGTGGGGCCCCCAGAACTTCCGACCATTTCCAGGGGGCCGGCATGTCAACCCGAAGCGCTTGCTGACGTGGGATGGAGGCAGTAGGGGCAACGATAGGTTTGGGACGGGCATGTTCCCCTACAGGCGGATTTTGGACGAAAAATAAAAAATAGTCAAACAATGTTGAAACATAGTCAAAAATGATGAAACAATCGTCCCCGTGGTATGTTTGACTATGTTTGAATATACCTCCTGTAGAGGGGCAGGCTCGACTCAACGATAGGGGGGGAACGCCTCAGGGGGGAACATCGACGTGGAAGCGGCAATGCATCGCTCATAGATCGGCGCTAGGCCCCCGATCGGCAAATCCGCACGCTCCTTGGCGGGGTGAGGCTGCATCGGCGATCCATGGGCGACTCATGGTCGGAGCAGCCCCCCCCCTGAGCTCCCAACGATGCCCCTGAAGGCAGGATGAGGATACAGTAGGGGGCCCGACCACAAGAAACCTTGCACAAGAAACCCAACCCTGAGACCCCAGGACGTCCATTGATAATTAGTTTGCGTTGGAACGCCACGCTTTCCATGGCAAAATCATCCAAATCCAAGCAGCACAGGGCACCCTGGAGGCAAACAGGGTGTTTCTTGGCATGGGCCTTCACTGTATCCCCTTTTAACGCTGCCCTGAAGACAGTATGAGGACACATCCGGACGAGGATAAGAAGGGGGAAGCTCCCAGCTCCAGCGGCTCTGGAGAACGCTCTGCGAGAGCTCTGGAGAGAGGCATCGCTGTCACAGCCGTATGTCGGGCATTCCCTCCTACAGGCGGACTTTGGACGACAAATGTTAAGACATATCCGAACATTTTCTAACACAGTCAAGTTCAAAACTCGTCCCAAGACTATTCGTTTTACTGTGTTTGAATATTCTCCCTGTAAAGGGACACGCCCGACTTCATCCCACCCCCGCCCCGTGACGGCCACGTGGGCTCCGAAACTGCCTCCAATAAGCCGACCAATACCAACAAAAACACAGTCTTGGCTTGGCCAAGACGTCGGACGTGTACGGTAGGATCTCGACCACACGACACCTTCCCCGAGAAACCAACCCTGAGGCCCCAGGACGTCCATTGATTCTTGGTATGGGAAACTCACGCTCTCCTCAGGAAAACCATCGAAACCCAAGAATACCAGGGCACCCTGGAGGCAGGCAGGGTGTTTCTTGGCCTGGGTTTCCACTGTCGCCCGGCCCCGAGACGGCTCCGGGACTCCGGGCATCACAAAACAAGACTGTCTTGCTTTGGCCCAGGCGTTGGACGTGTAGTGTGTGCGGCCCCCGTGTTCACGTAGATCCCGTCGTCGCGGGCCTCGGTCATGCGAGGTGAGCGTTCGGCGAAATAATCCCTCTCCTGCCTCCTCGTCTCTCCTTCCGCCTTCGTCCTCCCCTCTTCCTTCGCTTCTTTTTTTTAGCACCATCCGATCCTGGGCCAGTCGGCCTCTGGGCCACGGCTCGAAGCTCTCGGGCGAGCGTGCGGGGCGATCGAAAGGCACCGCCCCACGTCTCGCGACGAGGCGTAGCGGATGGAGACCACCGCGGTGCGATCACCTCAGATGATAAACAAATAAAAACCCCGAACCTTTTGGGACAGGACCCTAAAGAGGAGGGCCCAAACATCAGGGACAGTCGGCCTTCTCTGCCGATGTATCAAGCAAACCGCCCAAATGTAGTATCCCTCATGCGACAACAAGAACCGAAGGGAGGCCGCTTGCTTCCCCGCGTTAGTGAGGTTAGGGCTTCTGTTGTTCTCGACGGTATAAAGGCCAACGAAACATTCCAGCACTGTGGGTGTCTTTGTTTGGGGCGACGTTTCGGCGTGTTGGTTTGGAGTTTCGCCGGCGACCCCCCCCCAGACATGACGAGGGCGCCTGCTCGCTTGCACCACTCCCCGTCCTGCCCCTCCAGGTAGTTCCAGCACTCCCACGGCAGGTCATCCTAAGGGGCATGTGGGCACACGTCATATCAACTACAACACCGAAGAACGACCGAACCGACCGCGAAACCGAAACCGACATCGACGGACAGAGCGCAACCTAGAGGGACGCCGCGGCACAACAACGTATCGAACCGAACTTGCCGAATAGAACCGACCGTGACGCAACCGAGCTTGGACCGCAAACCCGTAGTTCGGACGACTTCGGCGGCTGGCTGCATGGCCTTGTGTGTTGCGGAGCCGCTCTGATGCGTCGGAACCCTGGGTGGTGAAATGAGGGTCAACAGACAAGATAAGTCGGCATCGGAACGGGAAAACAATTCGAATCGAAACGTGGGCACCATCAGGTACGGATTCATAATCGAAATGTATGGGCCGCGCCAGGATGCGCAACAACGCCATGCAAACACCAGGCTGCACCATATCGTCGGAGTACCGGAATCGAATCGGATCGGCCGGTTTAAGTGTATATTATTGGCAAGCATGGCGAGGCAAACCGAAACGGTCCGGGGCGAATCCGAAACGAACGGCACGCGATGCAAGAGATACCTGAATCCGACCTCGCCTACGAAAATGTATGGAATGCGGGTTGAAGCGGTGATCGATGGGGCCCAGGTGGATGAAAAGGTCGATCCGGACTGCAAATAGGGAGGAGGGGAGAGGATGGTCAGGCGGGGAAGCGGGATGAGCGAAAAGGATTGGAAATATGCGCAAGCATGGAGAACGAGTCCCTCCTGACGGCAAGATGTCAGGTGGAGGATCAGGATCATCGGCGGGAGGGGGGGCGACGGGACCAGGCGGAGGGGCTTGGAATGGAAAGTGTGGGGAAGAAGGGAAGGGGGACATGATGAGAAGATGGAGAATGAGGATGAGGAGGAACGCCCTGGCCAAGACAAGTGAGTTTAACGGAAATGCGTGGCATGCACAAAGTGTGCAAGGAAATCCTGCCAATGGGTCGTGGCATGGACACGTGCACGTGCAGGGCGGGAGACGCATGCAAATGCCCTTGCCTGAGGGTGAGGAAGACGAGGATGAGAATCAGAGAAGTCCGGGAAAAACATATGAAATACAACAGCGCGAAGAAAAAAGGATGAAGTGGAAACTCGGGGGAGGCGCGAACATCGCGCAACCTGCAAGAGGGAGGCCCTCGAGCAAGTGGCCCAGTTCAAGGGAAGGCCTGGCTTAGTGGCCGAACAAGCCCGCGGCGCCGACAAAGTCGTCGTATGAAGGGTGGCGGCGGGGCGACGACAGGCGACGCCAGCCGGGAGCCCCCGTGCAGGCGAGATAGGGCCAGGAGAGAGGAGGAGAGGAGTCGGCGGGCGAGGGCCTCGCCCGCCTCCTCTCCCCCTCTGCCCCGCCGCGGGGCAGAGAAGGGCCAGGATGAGGGCGACGATGGGCAGATGAAGTCGACGGATGGCCCAGTGTGGAGGAGCAACGATAGGCGAGGGCCTCGCTCGCTTCCTCTCCCCTTCTCCCCTGTCTTAGCCTCGCCGCGAGGCGGGGAAGGACAAGGACGAGGGCGACCGTGAGTGGACAAGGACGGCGGATGGGCCAGTGCGAGTGAGGATTAGCTACAGGGGGGATGGGCATAGGGGGGGGAACATCGACCAAGAATCGCTTATAGATCGCCGACATATTTGCGATGGCCCCCGATAGTGATACTGAAGGTTCTTGGGCAGGTTGGGGCTATCGGGCCCCTAACGTGGATCAGTAGGCGATTGTGGGTCAATGCGTCTTCCATATGCCTATCCCCCCTGTCGCTGCCCCGAAGTGGAAAGTGAGGCTGAGCGCAAGGGAAATGGGATGCCTTCTCCTCACCGACTTTGCCTCCCTTCCTCCCACCTTAGAGAAAGAAAGAGCCGGCACAGACCTGAACTTTCAGAGTTCCGCGCGGATTCGGCGCGGGACCCTACTCCTTTTCGCGCGGAGCGCAACAGTGGCGGCGCTGGAGGTGCCGCCAGCGGGCCTGGCGCCGCACAAAGACACCTGCGCGGCGCCTCAGAAATTATGTTGATGCCCTGGCTCCACCTTCGGCAAGCTTCATGTCAGAGTGACCCTTGGCCAGGATGGCCTGGGAAACCAATGGAACTCCAATCGCGCATGGGTTATGGATAACACAGCCGCCCTTATCAGGTGAGGACCCCCCCTGGTTCTGAAGCCTCCCGGGAACATTGCTGAAGCAACACTCCCACCGTACTTTTAGCGTGCACACGATCAAGCGCCAGTTTGGCCATTCAGCAGCGCGTCGGTTGCCACTCCCGTCTCGAACACCATGCTCCTTGGAAAGCCGCTTGGACAGGCCGCTGCACATGCAGTTCAAATTCAAATACTGGTTTGCCGTCTGGAGTAGATCGCACTTTCGCATCGAGTGATCAAGCGGACTTGTGTGGACACGCCAGAATCACATCGATTGAAACATGTCTAAGTTGTCCCTGTCCGCTTTCCGTGAAGTAATATTGTCCAGCCTATATACAAGCTTCGACCGTATACAAGTTCCACCACCTTGGCTTTATGATGTTTGCTCCTGCTAAGTTGGCTCCATACGGCACACATGTATTCGAAGGCCTTGCTTGCTTCTCCGAATCTTCGTGGCACCTCAGTTTTGGATTCCCGTCATCGCTCAACGATCCTCCAAGTTACACTTGGCAGTCTCTGCCCGCGATCGAGTCGGCATCCAAGTCTGCAGCATTCGCTCCTGAGCGGGTTTCCAACATAAATGTGTTCGACGTGTTGAAATCCGACCGCATGCTCTCAATGTTTGCATGACAAAAGGCACCCACATGAAATTGAAGAGTTTCCGTGTTTGTGGCTACGAGCATCAATTTGTCGGCGTATAGCACATTTGAATTACTGTCGTAAGCTGACGTGCCCATTTTTTGTCGACCACGTCCAGAAACATTGACATGGCGATGGTGCTGAGCTCTAACAGACACTGATCTTTCTGGCCCATATATGGCCGAAACCCTGTCGACCATGGTCAGGGGCACGCGGAAGTGGCGGCGGGCAAATACCAAACCTTGTGGCTTAATCTTGCCGGGCGAGCTGCAACAAGTCAACTAGCAACGGCAACGCATCCTTTTTTTTGAAGCGGAAAAGCATACTACAATTAAGCAAAAGGGGTTATTTGCTGAAGGAAGCGATCCTTGCTAGAAAATTATTGTTGCTCTCTTGCGCGACAGCCGCGGCGGCGCGTCCAAATTGCCGAGCCACGTCCTGCGCTCGCGCCCTGAATCTCCTGTCAAAAGGCATCTACAACTCGCTGAAAACATGGCCAGGAATCGCCGCGACCCGATGCAATGCGACCCTGATCGCTCGAGCAAATGCACCGCGGGGCGAGCTGGTAGGGCAATCGAGAGCCCCCCCGTCCCCCGACCGGGCCCTGGCCCCGCACCACCAAGGCTTTACGAAGGCAGACCGCGGCCTTTACTAATGCGAAGAAGCGGCTTCACTAAAGCGAGAAGGCGGCTTGACTACAGCGAAGAAGCGGTTTTTGCTGAAGCAAGAAAGCGGTTTTAGTAAAAGCGATAAGAGACGCTTTACTAAAACAACAAAAAAGATGTAAAGAGGAGAGACGGCTGGGGTAAAACTGCGCGCATAAATTTCGTTCCTCCCATAAACTCTGGCGCGGGACTCCGGGAACGGGGGTGGGGCGCAAATTCGCCCGTGGGCCCGGGCCCTGGCGCCGCCTTCGCCGCGGCGTTCGTCGTCGCCGCCGTCGCCGTTGCCGCCGTCGTCATCGCCGTCGGCGCCGTCGTCGTTGCCGTGGCCGTCGTCGTCGCCACGACGCCGCGCATTCACGTTATTACCAGCGGCGGGTCGCGCGTGGCCGCGCGCGCCATCGCGCTCGCATTTCCGCTCCTCCAACGGGGGCCTAGGCGGACATCGTGTCTTTTCTTCCACCCACAACTTGTTTAAAGTAGTAGTGGGGAAATTGCACCCCTGATTCTTTATCTTCCAACGTTCCGTCGCACCAGGAACAAAGCGTCAGTTCCGCTGCGTCAATGAAAGAATACGTACTGAGACTCTCTTGAAAAATTCCCCGCCCCACCAAATTCGAATCTCTGTAGAATGAAACTCGCCAGTACGTTGTATCCAACATCGAAGAGCGAAATTGGCTTGTAGCTGCTATGAGGTGAACTGTCACCTTGATAAAGCATAGCAGCGGTCGACGCTTCCCGCCACTTCTCGGGTATGCCTTTCTGCTGCCACATGCGGTCAAAATGCAAAAACAGCTGATTTCAGTGACACCGCCCGAGGCTCCCACACATTGGTATCGAACGATCCTCGTCTGGGTTGATTGCCTAAAGGTTTGTCTTAAAACCAGCCTGGGCAACCTTCTGTTGTTGACGCTAAGAAGGGCGAACATGCTTAAACAACTGGGCCAACTTTCTGCCAATTCGGTAGACAAAACGTTTGCCCAGCTGTCCGCGCGGAGGTGTCTTCTGCAAATGCTCGACTGCACTTGCACAGTGATGCTTGCATCGTCCAGCTTGATTGTTTTGGGTGACGCAAAGGGGTCAAGCTGAAAAGGGGTGGTGCAATATATATATATATATATATATATATATATATATATGGGGCAATTGTATTGCAAGTGTACAGCGCCGGAGAATGTGCCGCAGTGTATTGCAACTCGATGAATCTCACGCGAAAACCCAGCAATACATTTGCACACCAGAATGTTGTGCACGCCCTCAAAACCTATTGCACCACACGCAAATCTATGGCACCGGGTCTACTGCACCACCCTCTTGTAGCTGTACCCCTTCCTTGGTCAACCAGAACTGTCTTCCCTTCACCGGGCAGAGGCGGCCAGGCCCGCGCCGCCGCCGCCCGTCCTCGGGGATCGCAGGATCGCGCCGCGCCGCAGATGCACCATCGACGCCTCGGCAGTGCACCCGCGACGTCGGCAATGCATCGGCGCCGTCGGCGTGGAAAAATCGGGCTCCACATCGGCGATGCAGCGCAATCCTCCGAACCCCTCTGCTCCGATTTCATCTGGGAGGCCAACGGCAGGTTCTTTCCGTGCCGACTTCGGCGCTGATGTCTGACATTGACACCACAGAGACCTTTCAAACTTGAACTGTCGGCCGTTTCCGACACGGCAGATCGTTCAACGTCGATCGATTTTGCGTTGCGGGAGGCGTTCAACGTTGAACGATGGCGACGGGGTCGCCGCTGGTCGACAGGACGCGAACCTGGCGTACCCAGAGTCCCAGCTAATGCCGACAATGAGCATCGCTTAAACCGATCCCTGTCCCCACGGGCGTGGCCTGAGCCCCCGCTGGCCGACTTACCCCCCCCCCAGATGGGGATGTGGGCAATTCCCTTCGAGTTTCGAGGTGCATCTCCCCGACTGGGGTGGTGGGGATATGGTGGGATATGGTGGGGATCGGGATCGGGTTCGGTCGGGCCTGTCCCCCTACAAGGAGGTTTTGGACGACAAACAAAAAACCAAACATACCCCAAACGATGCAAAACATGTAAAAAATCGTCCCCAGACTATTTTTGGGCTATTTTCGGCGATTCCCCCTGTAGAGAGACATGCCCAACTTAAGGATAGGGATGGGTGGGAGAGGGATCGGCGATACGATACTGATGCTGACTGCCTTGCCTTGACCTGACCGGGCAGAGGCAGCTCGGCTGCACGCAGGAACGACCCTATAGGCCAGAGTAATCTTCGGTGCGCGGCAGCAGGGGGCCGCGGGGGAGGCCAGATCCAAGCCACTCAATCGTGCCAGCCAGTGCTGGGAGGGCCCCTGTGGGCCCGCACCCAAAGGCCACCCTCAGAGGGCAGAACGTCCACTCCCATAAGAACCACCCCGACAGGCGAAGCCGTTTCGCAAACGCACCCAAGGAAAGAATCGCACAGGGAAGGGCTGTCCAGTAAACGCCCGGGGCCGTCTAATAAACGTCACTTGTCCGGTTCCGTTGGTTTTCCTCCCTTGCGCCCTGGCAAAGGGTCTTTCCTTCGGCGGTGGACAAACCTCCCTTTAGTAAACCACCCATGAATGAAAACGGCCTGGGACCGAAACCGACGGACCTGGACCAGCAGAAATAACGGCCACGACGCCCCATCGCGAACCGAAAAAGGCCAATTCACTGATCGCCGTGTCAGGGTAGGAGGTCTGTCAACCTCAGATTCTTGACCAGGGACCGACCGTCCCGGCATTCCTATAGGCCGACCACGAAATGTTCTTAGAACCCCAAAATGTTCTAAGAACAAAAACAATGTTCTTAGAACATTCGCCCGATGTGTTAACACAAGACCGTCTTAGCCGGAAATGGTCTGAAAACGTTCCGTGCCGACCACAGCAGGCTCTTAGAACATTTTTTGGGGCAGGGCCAGGACGCGTCGCCACTGCTTGAGCTTCCTGCGCGCAGCCGAGCAGCCACGCGCGCGCCGCCGCCGCCGCGCTCCTGCGGGGACAACGCCGCCGCCGGCGCCGGCGGCGCTGCCGGCGGCGGCCCTCCTGGGGCCGCGGGCGACGCTGCGCGGGCGGGGCACGGGCGGTGCGCGCGGCGCGGGCGGCGCGGGGCGGAGAGGAGGGGCCGTAGGTAGCCTCCTCCGCCTCCTCCTCCGCCTTCCCGCGTCTATCGGGTGCGCGCAAGCATGGATCAGCGATCCATGGATCTGGCGCGCGGTCGCCAAATCCATGGATCTGGGGAGGCGCCCTCCCCAAAATGCGGCCGTTGCCGCCTCGCTGGGTGGCGGCAATCCGTGATTTCCCATGGAAGCGGGGCCCGTCGCTAATCCACGCCCCCTTGATCCATGTTTGCGATCGCCTGACTCGAGGCTGACGAGGACCCTTCGATCCGGATCTAGATACTCCCTTCCATCCTCCTCGTCCTCCGCATCCTCCTCCGCCTCCGCCTGCTCTTTTTCCTCCCCCTCTTCGCTTCCTCCTGGGGACGCGGGCGGCTGCGCGCGGCGCGCGCTGCGCGCTGCAAGGGCGGTGCTCGACCCGGGCGGGGCGGGGCAGGGCGGGGCGGAGCCTACGGTGAGGGCAGTGGACAAAAACCCTCACACAATGGAGAGGCTCCCTGGGTTTTGAAGCGGGTGCAACTCCAATCGTGCATTGGCCATGAATGCCACCACCGCCGCGGGCCTTCCTGGGGTCCTGGGGCCGCGGGTGGCTGCGCGCTGCGCGCGCTGCGCGCTGCGAGCGGTGCTTGCCCCGCGCGGACTGGTGCGGAGCGGAAGGGGACCGTAGGCAGCCTCATTGGACGGTCAAAACCGTCCAATATCGTGTCGCGGCGGCGGCCCCGGCGACACGCTGTGCCTTGAGAGCGGATCGCGTGTCGCTTCCGCTCCGCGGTGCGGGAAGCTGGGAAGAACTCGGGACGTCGACGCTCGGGACACGGGAAGTGGAAAGCGAATCGCTCCGCGGCGTGGTGGGCAAGAACCGGCGGAGCGACACGCTGAGCCAACGCTGCTGGCCATACCAGCCATACAAGCCAACAAGCGATGACAATCTGGGGAATGCGTCCTCGGATACTGGGGGGATCCTAAGGA